TTTTTTCAATACTTTTGCCGGGAAAAATAAACAAATGCTTTGCACCTGCTCTAGGAGACACATATTTAAAGACTTTATTCTTTTATTTAATAGCACATATATGTGTACTAGGCAATACAACAAATGCTCAGATATTGTCATAGTTTTATGAAAGCTAACAGAGAGCATTAAACATTATCTCAACCTGCCTGAAATTACTCTGAATTTATATATCACTCAATATCTTTGAAAAACATATTGTCACCATCACTGAAGGGAGCCACCATAACAAACCTTCCATTTTGCAAAGGATAAAACAACAATGTCACTCAAAGGAGTCAGAATCATTGCATTTTAGGTAGAGAGACTTGAGAGTTTTATCCTGCTCACATTTTTGCTTTATGGATGAGACAAGTGAATTCCTGAGTGGACATAGCAGTGTTTAACCCAAAAGCAGTGCCTGTGTTTGCTAGCTCAGAACTTTTCTATTTACTGCTACCATGCATTATAGACATTACACATCCATTGAATTACAGTATTCAAAAGCTTTAAAAATAATGAACACAGTTCAGTGTTTTCTCTCCTTCATTCACACCTCTTCCCAAAGTCTGGCCACAGCTTCAGAAGCACAGTGCTGGTATAACAGACTAGTCTCCTCCCTGCCTGTGCATCTCTTTCACTTTTGACTACAGTGGAAGAGTCCCATGCAAATTCTTTCTTCATAAGTAGTTTCTCTGAATTAGAAAACATAGAAAGATGGTTCTGTGCTAGATAGGGGTACGCAAAAGAAAGTGCTCAGGCTGGCCCAACCACATTTGGCCCCTGGCAAGCAAAAATGGTAACTGTGGGAAAATTTAAAAATAAGGCAGAGATATTGGATTACAGTGAACAAAGAACATATGCTCTAAAATTCACCAAGGAGACAGAACACCATCACTTGAAGGCTGTTGCAGACACATAATAGCGTTGAGTGCAATAATAGCTAGAGACAAGTTCTTCTCAAAACTCAAGGGACACTGGGGCACAAAATGTCAATGAATTTAGGATTATATTCAGCTAATGTATCTTTTATGGCCACAATAGTACAATATTTGGGAATTAATCAATCAATTATTGAAGAAAACAAATATGAAAATTAAATAGAACACTCTTCATCAACAAAGATGCAAAGAAGAAATAAAAACCTGTTAAGAAGAACCTGGAACAAAATGTAACCATGACACAGCAAATGTAAGGTCTAGAAAAAAAATAGTTCTAAGAATAAAATTCATTACAATAAATATGTACATAAGAACAAAAGAAAAAACTTAATTTCAGAGGACAAACTAGAAAAAGGAGAGAACACTAATTTCAAAGAACAGCGGAATGAATGCAAACTAGAGCAGAAATCCATGAAATCGAAATCAGAAAGAAAATGAGAAAGGATGAGGATACAAAGAGTTGGCTTGGAAAACATAATTAAACAAACCACAGGCTATATTAACCTACCCCCCCAACACAAAAGGACAAGAACTTAATAAATAAAATTATTTGTGCAAAACATGTCATTCCACTTAGTATTACAGATCTGAAGAATCCTAATATACATTCATGAAGAATTCTATACTCACAAATTGACTAATTTGTTGGAAATAGAAAAACAGGTGATTTCCTAGAATGCACAACTTACTAAATCAAAAGGAAATAGACTATCCAGACCAGTGATGATGAAGGTTTTTGATTTATTAGTTACTTTCCTTTCAGTAGAGAAAACCACAGGGTTATACAGAAGCCTTTACTGATGAAATCTTTAAACACTTAAAGAATTACTGACAAGTTTTCTTGCACTTTTGTTGAATAGCAGAAAATACTACTAAACCTGTCTTATGAGGCTCCATTATCCTCATATTAAGGTCAGATAACAACCCAACAAGAAAACACTATCATAGGCAACATCCTTGTAAAGCATAGATGCGTAAACCCTCACTAAGGTACTAACAAGCAAACTACCACAGTGGGTTGAGAAAAGTGCACAGAACATCTCTTAGGATTTGTCTATGGATGAAAGGTGACTTGGCATGCTCACCAATTAACCAGATATGACACAGTAAAAATGTAAAAGCTGATAACATTACATTCTCAGTGTATACAAGAAAGTAAGTGACAAGGTTTTAAATTATTTAATTATGAATTTTGTCTGAAGAATTTTTATATTGAAGCTTAAAATAAAAAAAAAATACTTCCAAAAACTCCATTCAAAAGGAGCATACATCAAAATAAAGAAGGTTCTTTCTATTTGACCAGCCCAGATCTGTTTTCCTACTCAGTGGTAAAAAAGTTGAAAGTGCTAACTGTAATATGAGAACAAGGCAAAAAATCTTCATGTTCAGCACAGTGTTGGAGATTATAGCCGAAGGTATTAGAAAAGAAGAGGATAACAGTCTTCTAAATTGAAAAGGAAATTAGTCAGACAGACTAGCTCTGCTCATGAAGACTGTGGTCTCCCACACAGAATATTTTAATGATATCACCCTCTACTCCAAAAAAAAAAAAAAAGGAAAAAAAGGAAAGTAAATAAAACAAAGACTACACAGATTTAAAAAAAAAAAATAAGTTCAGTAAAGTTAGAGATCCAGACCAGTGATGATGAAGGTTTTTTATTTATTAGTTACTTTCCTTTCAGTAGAGAAAACCACAGGGTTATACAGAAGCCTTTACTGATGAAATCTTTAAACACTTAAAGAATTCCTGACAAAATTGCCATGTAGTAACATGTTACATTTTCATATACTAACAAAGAACTACCCCCCCAAAACAAATATACACTATCAATATACAATAACATCAAAAATAATTTGCTGGGAACAAATTACATCCAAGGAAGTAGAATTCTATATACCAGATACTGTAAGATAGTCATCTCAGGAAATGAAAAAGATGTAATTACAAACTGTGACCATGCATCTGAGTAATGAATTTACTTTAAATTAATTTCATAGCAGTCTGTAGATCACCTCAATACTTGTGAACATATCAATGATATTTCTCAGACATAGAAAAGCAATCAAAAGATTTGTTTGGAATCTCAAAAGATCAAAATGCTCTCACAAACCATTGGGAAGCAAAATATATCATGGAACCCCAGTGATTCACACTTCAAACTTTATTATAAGGCTAAAGCAATCCAATCAACATGGCACTGACATTAAAACATAAACATGACAATCACCGTGGAGAGCTGAGATACAAATTCACACAGATTTGAGCTTTCCAGTTTGGTTTCTGTTGCTGTGATAAACACTGGGACCAAAAGCAACTTAGGGAGGAAAGTGTTTATTTGACTTACACTACCAAGGTCAGCACCCATCATGGAGGGAAAACAGTGCAGTAACTAAAACCAGACTCTTGAGGCAGTAACTGAGATGCTGAAGTAGAGAACATGGAAGAGTGCTCTTGACTGGTTAACTTGCTCTGGCTTTTTCATCTACTTTGCTTACACAGGCCAGGACCATCTGCCTAGAGATGGTACCACCTGACATGAGCTGGGCTCTCCTACATCAATTAACAATTAACTACATTCAGGATGTAATTTATGAGGCTATGACACATAGTTAATGGGTCTTTGACAAAGGGCCGAGAATACACACTAGAGACAGGATAAGCACTTCAGTGAGGATTGTTGTTCAAAGTGGAGCCTCCCAATACAGAGAAAAAAAAGAGAGCCCTTATGATTGACATCGTTTAAAAAATGAACTCAAAAAGGATTATATATTTAAGCATAAAGTCTGAAAACAAAAGAGAAAAGAGACCCCTATCACTAGTCCTGGTAACATTATTATTATATTATTTTGATGTTACACTGTAGCAGAAGCAACAACAACAAACACTCCATAGCACTACATTTTACTGCAACTTTCTGCACAATGAAGGAAACAAACTCCTGAAGACGGCTAACATAGTACGGGAAAATACTCAGATTCACACTCTAATTCTGTAAGGAAACCATAAAATCCAATATTAAAACACCAGACTAAAGGTGGATAAAGTGGCAAATAAACATTCAAAACTATAAAATAAACACATCAATATGGCCAAGGAGGGTCTAAAAAATTGTTCAGTAACACTAATCTTCAAGGAAAGGCAAAACCACAGTGAGATGTCACTCATGCCTGTGAGGACAGAAAAGTAAAGTGACATAAGATGACGAGCAGTGGGGAGATGTGAAGACAGAAATCCCTGGACACTTATACTGTGGATGCCAACTACTATATCCATATAAAATTCTCTTAAAAATTAATAATGAAACCACTTCATGATTCAACATTCCCAGTTCTAGTTGCGTATCTGTGAACTGACACGACAGCTCCCCTCCCTGTTCACTGCGGATTATTTACTTACCAAGCTATGGAAATGAAGTGTCCATGGACTGGTAAAGTTCTGAACACATACAGCATATTTGTGCACTATTCTATCCTTCAGTTTTGAGTGAAATATGACAATATGAATGGATATGAAGACATTGAGGTCAGTGAAACAAGGTAGACCTACAATGGCTAGTAGTCCCTGTGAAATGTCAAATGTTGACCTCACTTAAGCAGAAACACAATGGTAGTTCACTGGGTAATGCAGAGTAAATAGCAGATCTGAATAATAAGACAGAGAATTGCAAAGATTACATGTCTAGCTTGACATAGCAAAACTGTATTGTTTGCAAAACTTGTGGAGAAGCAGAGGTAATTTTTATGAGGATGTTCTGGTTCTGTTGAAAATAGGTCTATCATCACCTTAAGTCCAACATGATGCCACAGAACTGTGAGGAAAACTATTGATTATCTGGGGAATTCTAGGAGACCAATTATGGGTGAGAATTTTCTGAGTAGAAGCAGAAGAAAGCCAGATACTCTAAACACAATAACCATTATTCTACACAAAGTGGTAATTTGCCATAGCTTCACCTAGTAGGACATCTATTGCTTTAACTGGTATGGAAGCTTCTAGTCATGAACTAACATACAAAAAAACTTGAATTTCAATGTTTTTAGATAAAGCTGGGACTCTGCTCTCTGCACACACCAAGAAAAAAAAGAAGAAAACTATTTAAAGGAGGAGAAACATCATCCTGTACTACACCTCAGTTTATTTTAATGTATATGGCAAATTTTAAAGAAGTTTCAGTAAAGATGTACTTGTAAGTGTTCCATGAAAAGTGAGAGTTATATCAGATCTTTCTTTTATATCAGTAGTTCTCTAATAATGACATGCAGAGTTTTTGTTAATTATGAAAGCTTGGCCTTAGCTTAGGCTTGTTTCCAACTAGCTCTTAAAACTTAAACCATTTATATTAATCTATGTTCTGCTGCATGGCTCACTACCTCTCCTCAATAACTCAGTACTGTATGGCTGACTTCCTCGACATTCGGCTGGCTAATCTTCTGTGCCTCAGATTCTTTACCAGAATTCCTATCTCTTCTTGGAAGTCCTGCCTATCCTCTCCTGTCTAGCTATCTTTATTAAATCAAGGCTTGTCTGTTAACTATTTTAAAGGTAGAGCTGTTAGTGTCTTTGAAAGATCAGCAGTTGTTGTGCCCTGTTCTTATACAATCTGAATGGATGGTGACTGTTTTTTATAACACCTCCTAATATTTCTCTCAGAAGCATGCGTTAGTTTAGAGTTTGTTTCTGAGGTTGAAGGAATGTTAATGTGGCTATTCCATTGTTGTATTAGACCACAGCCCCATAAATTCATAGCTATCTTAGCCACATAAGGCTTCATCTAGCTGTCTATATATGTTTTTGTCTCTCTCAGTTTTCTGCAGGGAATCATGACCATGACTAACAGCAAATTTGAAGTCTCCAAAAAGTTGATGATGGTGCCCCACAATGAGATTTCATCAGGATGATGATAATATCTCTAAGCTGATAAACATCATGCAAAGATCACCTTTGGACTACAAACTGATCAGGACAATTTCAAGATGGCTAGCTGAGATGATCCAGCCTCACAGATGACTTGAGCAAATACTAGAGACAAGCCCTGCACTTTTGCATTATGCAGAGACTGGACAACAAATGATACAGCTACCTCTCCCAGGACTTGAGAATTAACTCAAAATTTTCTTTTCAGGATCCCCTAAGGATGCCTTCACCTCCAAACAGCAGAAAATAATTTTAAGAACATGATGCCCACATTTCCAAGAGATGGAGTGGGTGGGTTTTCATCTTTCAGTGGGTTTTGGGTAAGTGTCATTGTTTAGGATGGTTGGTTACAAGTTGTTATTGTTAATGGTCAGGAAAAAGGCTAAACAAAGGAGATTAGTCTTTTTTTTTAAAAAAAAAAAAGAGAATATAGATAAAAGGTATATTATTGAATCTACTCTGAAAAAAAATATAGAAATGATAGAATAAAGGGTAGGTTATTAAATCTACTCTGAAAAGAAAAAAGAGAGGATATAGATATGATATTGATAAAAAGGTAGATTATAAAATCTACTTTTAAAACTACTACATTGGATTGGAATATTTTATATTATATACAAATTACGTATATTGCTACAAATTTGAGATTGATTTTATTAGAAAATGCTGTGAATATATTTCTAATCTTGTTCAAGATATTGTACCTATGCAGTTTATTTAACAATGTAATGCAAATTTCTAATCCTTGAAAGTTATTATTACCAACTAATTAGGATATAAAGAAATGAAAGTTAGTAGTTAGTCATTACAATCAAATTTGTAGTCATATTAGGTATGTTTTCAAGGTCAAGCAGAGATATATTTTAGATAGACAGGCCATCTTAAACACTTCAGAGATCTGCAGAATATTGCATTTAAGATGTTTTAGTAACATAGATTTTTTTTCTTTTTTTATGACTGTAAGACATGTCTGCTCCCGGCAGCACCAATCTTCTTCAGAGAAAACGATGGGCACTGAAGAAACTCCACATGGAGTTAACTTTCATTGTGGCAAAAGTTAGCTTCTGTGCAAGATAGTGCCCTCATATTGACTGCTGACAGTATGACAAGCAGGACACAAAACAAAGGACTGCCGATCTTTGCCAAGACAAGTGTGGTTGCAGCTTAGGCAACAGGCATCCTCTGAGGTAAGGGAAATATGGCATTATCACTGAAGTGGTTTTGCAGTCCAGAAAAGGTACAGTGCCCCTTTCTTTGAAGGCAGTTGAGCAGGCAGTGGGCAGATGGATCCTGGTGTGCAATGGAACAGTAGCTGGAGCAGTTATTCTTGGAGGAGTAACTAGGCTGACAGAGTCTGGCCTCTCAATGGTAGACTGGCATTTAATAAAGGAGATGAAGTCACCCACAAGCCAAGAAGAATGGGAAGCTGAATTATAAAAATACCAGCAATTTGCAGAATTTAAAATCTTGAATCATGACATGACACTGGCAGAATTCAAATTTATCTGGTACATGGTCTACTTGCACCGAACATGGGGTCAAGCTGTAGGCCTTGTGTACATCCTGTTTCACAAATGAATCTGTCATATATGCTAAGCCTGTAGGCCAAAGATGATACCTCAATTTCTCAGAAAAACTTCAGGTGACTGTCTAGGCAGCCAGCTGTTTCTGTCATTTCTTAAATTTTTTGGAAGTCACTTGTTTGCATTTCCTGTTTTACTAGGAAATATTTCTTTCTTGGGTCTCTGAGGGAGTTGAAGATTAGTTATAGTTATAGTTTTCCCTGTTAAAAAAACTTACTAAGAGGTGTTAAGTGTATAAGTTTGAAAGACATCAAAAGATAGTTTTGGTAATGCAAATTAGGATAGAAGGCAAATTAGATACCCATCCTTTGGATTCACAAAAATAGGATAGATAATGGAATATTTTCTCTGAATTTGTCAAATACAAATGGACTAGACATTGTTGATGTATTTATTGCTTGTATACATTGTATTTAGTTATTGTACTTACTGTATATAGTTTTTCTTATAACTTTTAAAAGTTCTTTTTATATTAGATAAAAAAGGGAAATGTGGTGGTATTTTATCTGTGTACCCCAATAAAGTTTATCTGAGGATCAGAGGAAAAAGCCTGCCACTATAGTAAACTTAGAGGTCAGGCAATGGTAGCACATGCCTTTAATACTATCACTCAGAAGGCAGAGATCTGTCTGGATCTCTGTGAGTTCAAGGCCACACTGGAAACAGAGCCAGGAGTGGTGGTACATACCTTTAGTCCCAGCAATATCCATAAAGGTCTGGAGGTATGTACAGACAGACAGGAAGTGACATAGCTGGACAGGAAAAGAAAGTGATGTAGCTGGGCAGAGAGGAAATGAGATGGCAGAACAGAAAGGCATATAGGCATGGGTGTACAGGAAGTAAAGCTCTTTGGAAACTGCAGAGTTGGTGAGGTGAGGTTAGCTGTGGCTTTTCCTATTCCTCAGTTCTCTCAGGTTTTAACCCCAATATCTGGCTCTGTGTTTTTTTTTTTATTTAATAAGACCTTTTAAAATTCATGTTACACTTTCCCAACTGATCCATTCTGATTCATTTCTTCAAATTCGAGTCCTTTCCAAGCACATTTCTCAATCCTCCTGCTGTTTGCTGCCTCTGTGATTCACTGTACAGATTATTTTCTGGGATCCAGTTCTGCCTGTCTTTCTCATTATTTCTTTTTACGAACACCCATGTTCGTAAAACCCTGATCTAAATATCAAGTAGCACTCAGTATAAAATAATGTTTTCCACAAATAGATTGTAACAGTTTGATAATTCAAAAGCTTTATAATTTAAATTTAACATAAATACTAATGAGAGATGAAAAGGCTCACACAATTTTGCTATTTTAATATGTTCTATTCTTGGAAGAAAACCCAAAAGATTAGAAAGTCTCATGCTACCTGGAGTGGCTGCTGACACACTCTGGGTTCTTAAGGAATATGTTCTGGTGAATGAAAGAACGGCAAAAATGGGCCAATTATCCTCAGGATTTTTTTCCTTATATTTATTATGTCATGGAAACTCCAGAACTTTAAAAACATTTAAAAACTAGATTGTATTTTTAACATTTAGTCAAAATAGCTGTTGCACAATGAATATAAAAAATGCCATTTTCTGAAACTTATGCTGTGAGACATCGGAGTCTCAGGAAGACATAAATACAGTAACAAATCTACTGAACAAGAAGGAGAAGGAAAGTCAGGTACCAAGGCACACACCTGTAATTCCAGCACCTGAGAAACACAGGCAGGAGGTAAGTTTCACAGTGAGTTTGAAGCCGGCCTGGATTACATGAGACTCTCTCTAAAAACAGTGAAAAGAGAAAACAGGGGTGGAGGGGTCGGTCATAAGAGAAGGAGATTTGTGTAAACTTGCAGTTGGATGGCTGTGCTCCTGGCAGAGGTCTTCTTATGGTGATGACAAGCTGAAGCAGGGGCTCAGAAATGAGGTCTTCTTAGTGACAGTTGGAACAATGGGTACCATAAAACAGTGGCGGTTTGGAAGACGACAGAACAAGTAGCCTGAGCAAGTTCATGAATCAGTAAACAAGAAATATAAAGCCGGGCGGTGGTGGCGCACGCCTTTAATCCCAGCACTCGGGAGGCAGAGCCAGGTGGATCTCTGTGAGTTCGAGGCCAGCCTGGACTACCAAGTGAGTTCCAGGAAAGGCACAAAGCTACACAGAGAAACCCTGTCTCGAAAAACCAAAAAAAAAAAAAAAAGAAAGAAAGAAATATAAAAACTGAAAATTTAACTCTCAAGCCCCCCAAGTGTAAGTATGCAAAGGCATGCAGAAGTCTCCTTGGTGCTTCAATGGCTTCCCAGATGAAGCCTCTGATGTTACTCGCTTATTGGAGCTGATGTTACCAAAATTTATAGCAGTTCAAGAGAATCCAGCACCTTACTGCTCCCGGGTGACTTGTCTGGTGACCCCTAAACAGAAGCTCTGTGGTGACGAAGAACAAATGGCTTCAAGTAGTCATCTAAGGAATTCACTCTCCTTCTTAGCTTATTGGAGGGCATGATGAGTCTCGGCCCTGAGCCCTGCCTCATTAGTTGTGAAACCGAGTTTGCATTGAAAAACAGCAAGGCCAAGGCCTTCATGCGAAGTATCATTTGCAGTTTGCAAATAAATGTGGGGTTCTCATTAAATCTGATTTCAGAGGTGAGAGTACAGAAAAGGCCCACAGCTCGAATAAAGTGGGAGCGGTTGTAAGCCCACACACACCATTCTAGCCCATCTGTCCCCACAGGGGATGAGGTTATGATTACAAGGACTCCAAATTACTAATATAGTATTTATGATAGCCTCATTTATAGTGATTTCATTGGGCCTGCAGAAACAGCATTATAGGCAATTGTGACCACCATCAGCAAAAGCTTAATGAGGATCAAATTGATCTCATCAATTTTCTGTCACCACTCAGCTTAAAACACTCAAAACCTGCTGTTTATATAACACCTCTGTCCTAGTAAAGACAGTCTCAGTGTCTGTTGTCCTTGCAATCTTAGAGAGAAATTGCTAAACTCTAATCACCAATTGGGACAGCAACGGAGCAATGCTGCCTAGGCTTATGGAAGCACTTAATCCACACAGTAACAGATATACTATGTGTTATGCGGTGTAGTAGTTTGAATGTAATGGGACCCCATAATCTCATAGCAAGTGGTACTATTAGGAGCTTTGGTTTTGTTGGAGGAGATATGACCTTGTTGGAGGAAATGTTTCACAGTCAGGGTGGACTTTGAGATTTCCTATGCTCAGGATATTGCCCAGTGTCTCAGTCAATTTCCTGTGCCTGCTAGATGTAGGACTCTCAGGTAGTCCTCCATCACCAGAGCAGCCTGCATGCCGCTATGATCCCTCCCATGATGATAAGTGAGCCTCTTCAATTAATCATCTTCCTTTATCAGAGTTGCCATGGTCATAGTGTCTCTTCACAGCAATAAAAACTCTAAGACAGCCAGAGACCACAATCTGTTTTTTTTTTCTACTTTATTATTCACCAGAAGCCTCACTTCTGGACTAAATGGTTATAGTTTTTGAAACTCAGCATTACAACTAGGTTTTGGCTAGTGAGAATGGGGGAGGGGATGTTGAGTCTATTTATAAAAATTCCATTTTTCATTCTTTGTCTTAAATGCTTAGAGTATAATCATAAAGGCTGAAATGTTGCAGTTGTAGTGTGAACCTCAGACAAGAGAACAGACATATTAGGAACTTTGCTTCCTTAGAATACCATTATCTACACTTTTTTATTCCATATTCACTAAGCATATCCTGAGAACATGGCTCTGGATCTCAATTGCTTTCCAACCATTTGCATTTACATTCTGCTGCTGCTCACATGACTGGATTTGGCTCTTCCTAATATTGATCACTGCCCAAATCCATTTCAAGGAACATGATTTGTTGACTTGGAGAATAAATCATTGCCCCATTTGGTTTTACTCTCACCTGTAAGTAACTATTATTTATTCCTTGGATATTGGGCTACCCCATCTCCAAACAAACCAAATAACAATATTGACAACCACTAAAGATTTCCATAAATTATACATAATGTCTTAATTCAGGAATGTAACAGAGCCCTGCTTCACACTTGCTACTCTGTATACGGACATTACACACAACACCTGCTTCATGATTATACCATATTGCTGAAATTATGACCAGTGTTGTGGATTGAGTTCTTCTGTCACCACAGAATTCATACACTGAAGCTATAATGTAATGGCATGACCCTTGGAGGTGGAACCTTTAGGAGTGTGTTGGTATAGAATTAGTGAATGAGAACGGAGAGTACATGATGGGATCCATGTCTTTATGAATGGAAGAAGAAAGAACACCTCTTTTGTGACATGGGGAAAGGAAAGGCCACATGAGCATTTGGTAAAAATGTAGTCTGTAACCCTGAGGAGATCTCACTACAGTGTAGGCTATACTGACACTGTACCTGTGAACTGGAGGAAAACAAAGTAATGCCTGTGGTTTGGGCTACCCAGTGCAGCATACCATTCTGATGCCCCTGGGTAAACAGACCAGGCAGGCCTGCCTTCCTTCAAGTCCCATTTCACATATCTCCTCTGTGTAAACCTTTTTCTTCCTGTCTCACAATCTTACAACCAAATGAGGCCGTACA